CACGGACCCAGACAAGGTGGTGGTTCGACTAGAGGTAGCCTGAGCCAAGTTGGCCGCGTGCGCACGGACGGTGCGGAGGTGCACCGTGGTGGCAAGGCTACGTCCAGAGTGGCTAGAGGGTGGTAGCGACTTGGCAAGGGTGCGCCGGGTGATGGTTAGGTGGAGGCGAAGCTGGCGGTGCAACGGAACGAACACGAGCAGCTCTGGAGTGGGGGCCTTGCCGTCGACGTGTGCCGAGACGGACTTAATGACTCGGTGAGAGGAAAGCTCCAAATTGGAGCATGGCACAGCAAGGATCACTGCACGAAGGGCTGGGTGGCTGGCTGACTACACTGCGAAGCCATGGACGGAGTTAATTGGACTGAGGTGACTCCACCAAGCCGAATTGAAGGCCCGGGTCCGGCGACCATGGTGACAGAGGAACAGGGGAAGAACCGACATGGGTTGGCTCGTTGCTGCCGTGGCGGGACATGGTTGTCAACTCGGTGCACAAGCGCACACGTGCTATAGGGCGATGGGGGGGACAGCGAAACGTGCTCAAGAATGGTTGGCCGCATGGCCATAAACCGCAAGTCGACGAATCGGCAAGAATATAGCTCAAATATCTATCGATGCAAAGGTTGCGCCTCGAAAGAGAGCAGCAGAAAGCATAGGCACGCATGCGTTATCGGGCGCGATGTGATGGCCATAAGGCAAAGGACAAGCCCACGCATGGTAAGGCGACGAGCCCGATGCCGCCCGCCACGACGATGAGCCGAGTAAACACCACGCACACGCACGGTCCCGCAGCAGCGAAAGCACGAGGCAACAGAGTGGCCAGGCGGACGTGACGGCGGTGGTAGAGCGACTCAGAGCGACGCGACGCAGCAAAAGGTCTGGCGCCGCATGCGCACAACTCGAACTTTTCAAAGCGGCCGTGGCTAGCATGCGAAACAGTGACAGATGAACGCGATGCAATGCAGACAATGATCGACAAAAGCAGTGGTCGGAGGACGCCGGTGGAGCCGGATTTGGCGCCGAGCGGCGGGCCCGTGGCAGACGGCGGTGGTGGCCGCTGGGCGATGCCAGTGCGCCGTCGCGCGGTGTAGCGTGTGGCGTGCGCGTGCGGCAACGCCATCTTAGTTCGGTGGGTGTCTTGGCCTTTCGGGCAAGCGAGTCTTGGCCCACAAGGCGCCGAGCCAACCAACCCGAGGCTTCGGTGACCGCGGCCCAAACGCAATACAAGCCCGATTACGAACGTACCTTGCACGCTTTTTAAAGCGTCCCAAAAATCCATCTCAATGATCCAATTGCTAAACCACCTATTTTACACTCGAGATGGCATATCAAGCTACTAAAACCGGCCATGAAATTACACTACTTCTTAATCCAATTCGCCTACAAAAAATCCCAAACTTAGCCTCGTCAAACCATTTTCTAATTTAAGAAATTTGACTAAGTCTTGATCGGTTTCGTGTTGAATTTGATTTCCAAGCTATTCAACACGCTAGCTAGTGAATTCCTTTTGTGACCTCAAGTATTTCATCGTCACCTACGAAGCTTATACTACAAACTTTATTAAAGTGCCGTATATGCATTCTATAGTATTTTAGTTCAATAAAAATTTGTTTAAAACCCTAAGTGATATAACGCGACATGAAATATAAGATTCGTTTCGCATTTCCGATGAACGTTTCGAGTTACGTACATTGCTTTACACCCTATATTACACACATTTACACATAAATATGATGCTCATGCAGTGTTTTAGCAAAAGACCGTACAATGTAACACCGAGGGTGTTACACACATATCTGAATTGTAGCTTTGTTATTAATCGATAATGTACTCGTGCAATTCTTGGTTGGAGTAAAGCGGTGGTGGATAGCCTGTTATTCTTCCAAACTGCCTACAAACCCTGATGGGCAAGTGAATCTCGACCACGTGGAAGAAAATAAGAGAGGCGTTGCAGCGATACTCGTCTGACTCATCCCTAGTGACAAGACTCAGATAGTCTTGGAGCCCCGGAGCATCCCAAGGACACCAATGCACCTGAACATTTCGTAATTAAGTTAGATTGTGATATAGTGTACATCGAACAAGACACATGTATGATAGTAAAGAGAGCGTAACTTATTGGTGTTTTGTGTTCTGTTGGGGACGTCGAGACACTTGTGTACTCCTCATGCTTGCGCCTTCGCATTCTCTCTAACTAACTCTGCTTATGTCTAGATATATAGAGTTTGAGGCGCAAAGTTGTGTATCCTGCCCGTTCCAATGCTGCATTGAACACGATAATGAATTAGCCATTAATAATTTCATCATATGTAACTGTCTCGAAGAATATAGTGAACCGAAATACTTATAGGGACCAGTAACAAGGGGCCTCCCAACGGGCCATCGTTCCCAACACCAAACCTGGAGTAGCTAGGAGCAACACCTAAGGTTCGCATACCCTGAGGTCCAACGGCAGGCAACGCATAGCTGTCGATACGTCCATGCCAGGACTGCGCTGCCCTAGTTGTACGCCGCTATGTTATCCCACGGCTGGCGTAGTATGTCAAAAAAGATCCAGATGATGGTGTTGCCCGAGGCGTCTGGGAATAGGAAAGCACCAAGGAAGTGCCAGAGCCATACTCTAGCGAACCTGTCAATCTGAGCTCATCAGCCTGTGGGTCCAAGTAATTAAAGCGCTCTGTGATCCACGACGATGAAACACCGGAACTTTTCCTGAAATTCACCAAAGAAAATGAGACCCGATGGCTGCAGAAAAGCAATGCAAGTATTAAATATGCTTGAATTGCTCACTTATTTTTCTTAGAAACCTCGTCGTCCGGTGGAAGAAAGCCAGTAAACTGAGCCACCAGCTCCATCCAGTGATCGTTGTCAACTATACCTGTCACTGGAAGTCCCTCCAACCGAAGGCCAAAGATAGCCTTCACGTCCTGCATGGTCAAGGTCATCTCGCCGTAAGGTAGGTGAAACGTGTCGGTCTCAGGCCTCCACCTGTTATAAGAATAGAACGACTATTAGTTACCTCAAATTTGTTATAAGAATGTTTACGTACAATGAAGACACTTGCACCTGTGTACAGCTGCAGTAAGTAGTGATGGGTCAAGGGACGGAAGACCATAGTTGATAACACGGACGAGCTCGAGGAAGCCGGCACGCCGTATGTACGGCGCGTAACACTCGTCCCACTGGTGTGCCTTGGTGTGCGTGCGGGGCCTCAAAGGAGACAAGGGCACCTCTGCGTCAGTGTCAGTCAAGAAGTGTGCTCGGTGCGGATCGTCGTACTCCACCTCAAAAAGAGGGTACAACTGGTGCTGCGTGGGAGGGGCCATCCTGTTACAAATTGATAAACAAAGTGTTAGAGTATTCAAATTAACAATATTCAAATTAACATTATGTAGCATTGTAAAATTTGAACTACTTGTTATGTAATGGGAACACAATATGAAAGCACGTGTATATATTCAAAGTAACATTAATAGACATATTAAACAACTTCACTAGAAAAATAAGCAACTTCTATGTATGAACTCCCTACTATAATGCCTCGTCTTCTATATGCTGCGGGACGTTAAGTGGCGGCGGCGGCCAACGCGTCTTGGTGTGGCGGGGAAATGCTTTGGGCGGCGGTGCGGGGTACTTTTATTCGAACTTGCGAATAACCTTGGAAACTTTTATGCATATGTGATTGGCGCTAAACTGACGGCCGGGACGTAAGCCAGGGCGTTAAGTGCATGCGCAGCGGGCGCAGGGCACGATTTTCTTAATGACGCCAAAGAATAAAGAAGGCGGCGGCATGGGGCTCCCTTTTGTGGCCGCCGGCGAACTCGTGAAGGAGCCCGACGACGCCATCTTAGTTCTTAAGATAAGTAAAAAGCGTCTTACAGATCTTAGGGTTGGGGATTGTTACCGGATTTGGGTAATTTGCATTCCTAGGGTTCGGATTTGGGCAAAAACTAGGGTTTAGTGTTGAAGTTTATTCGACTCCCTTCCATCTCGGTGCTTAAGCGAAACCCTATATTCTGATTTGGCTTAAAGAACTTTGAATCGGACAAATCTGAGGCTATTTAGATCTTAACCAAACACTAATTAGGTCTTCGGGTTCAAGAATTAGGCTAAGCGGCTTCTCGGATACCAATTGTTAGAACTTATACTTAGACAAGATCTTAATTAACCTAATTACAGGAACGGCTAAACCGAAATTAGCACTTAATTAGGACTTTAATCAATCTTACTGAAATTAGCACTTAATTAGGACTTTAATCAATCTTACTCGCTCGAAGATGCACCTAGGGCCACGATGACCTTCGCTTGCTGGATGCAGGCACACTGTCGTCGGATGTAGAGTCGTGGTATGGTTCTGGCCATCGTCGTCGGTGTGGCGATTCGCATCGGCGCACGGGATTCGGCCGACGACCGCGCATGCCGAGGCTAGCTGGCAAACACTAATTAGGCCGGATGCGTAAGCGCTGGCATGGCGGGCGTAATCAAGCGCAGAGAGGGAGGCGGCTCATGGGCGACATTTACCTGGGACTGCCGCGCCGTGATGGATGGCGCAGTACTGCCGCGCCAAGATCGGTGGCACGGCAAAACCTACCACGCCATCGGTCAGCGCCCCCGTTGTCGCCACGTCACCCCCCTCGCTGCGCCACCATGCATGGTGCGGCACAGGCGTTTCGCCGCGCCAGAGAAATATGCACGGCCAAAAGTGTTCGATTTGGAAGAAAAAAATAAAACAGTGTTAGATTTAAAATTAGTTTACAAAAAATGTTAAAAAAATCACCGGGGACAGGGATGTAGTATATGGACACAGGAACGAGCGGCAAAAGGAGCATTTCCACACAGCCCAGGGCAAACAGATTTTGTCCTCGGCTCCAAGCTCCAGTGGAGCAAAAGATAAGAGTCAAGAGTTAACCCTCCAGGAAAGAAAATAACTAACAGACCATCTTCAAGCCCATCCCCAAACACTTCCCGACCGAGATGGCTTCAAAGCGCAAGATGGAAGCGGCTCAGTCCCACAAGAGGTTGATCATCGAGTTGGCCAGCCCGGCTTCCTTGAAAGTTTGGTCGCTTCCGAACTCCAGTTTCTGGGATGCTCCAGGAATGGCCTGTACGAAGTGGAAAGCCCTCTTCTCCCCGTCCTCAACCTGAGGAGCGCAGAATGACCACAAGAGCTGCAGCAGAGAAAGCACCAGTGAGGAGGGGAAGCAAGGAAATGAAATCAGAAAAAAAAAAATGACGGAGGTGTAACCTTGATAGGATCTGTGTGAAGAAAGTTTCTTTGGATCCTCCGATTGTTCGGTAGCCGAATCGCAACCCTGCAGAGAAGGTCCCTGCTTCCTGTAGGTTCTTCAGGGAGAGGAGGATAATCAGGCTTGATTTTTAAGCTGGGCTCATTGTCCACCTCAGGTTCAGCTTCAGCCATGTCATCACTGGCGTCTGATGCTTCAATGACTTCTTTACTCTCCTCTAGCGAAGCTGCTACTGCCCGTGCTAGTTCTTCATCTTCATCCTCAACAGCTATTTTGCCTAAAATGGAATCAAAAGGCATTGTGATTATAGTTCTTTTGGTAACCAGCTACGGTAGGAAATGTCTTGCAGGTAGGCAGATGATAGCAGCTAGGATAAAACTGTCCAGAAAATCATGTACAAATAGCATAAGAAAGCGGCATGATACAATCATACAATGAAAACTACACGCAGTGTCCTTGCTAGTTTTTGAAATGCAGATATCCATAAATTTGAAAAACAATGAATGTTATTTTATGACAAATTATGTGGTCCATGCATTTGATATGGTTACATCATATGGTTATGAAAATGGCATTCTTCCTAGTCTGTTTTCAAACAACAAACAAAAGTAATACCACTGCGGATTAAAAAGAACAATCCAACTCCTACCTTGCTGGCCCGAAGAAGCTTCCTGATCAACTTTCCTTGGGCGCTTTTGAGGTTGAGCTGCATGGTGCTCCTTCGGACCTTTATCCAGGTAAGGTAGTAAATCCTAGGTAAAGGACACGATCAGAAACAATTAACAAGGAACATCAAGGCTATAGTACATCTTATAATTCAAGTTTGTGTGCATCCATACAGGCTACAAATACAGTGCAGTATGATAAATGAGAGAATAGTATCAAAATACCTCGAGTAAACGGTCTGGGTGAACCATTCCATTCCAAGCATGCATTTTTTGCCCAGTGACAGGGTCAATTAGGAGAATAGCAGGCATGGACACCAAATGGTAGTAGGTGCATACCTTCCTCCCCTCACTGGTGTCATAATAAACCTATATTAACACATTAAAAACATATTAATAGACAGGTGTACAGAAATGAGTCCATCTAGGGGGAAAACGAGAGCTATTTAACAGACAACATTATGTCAATATAGATCCTAACATGTCAAAAGGAAATGTAATGAGAGAATCAGATCACTGAATGAGATACAGAAGCAGAAAGGGAGGACGAACCTGCCAGAAAATAAAATTTGACCGAATTAGTTGAGCCACCGCTTCGTTTCCCCAAGTATCTCGATTAAGCTTAAATAAAGTCCAGTTCAAAAGTCAAAACTTGGAGTAATAAACTTAAGGACCAACATTACACTACAAAATGACTGAGCTTACCATGTGAGAGCTAAATTCCTCTGTTGACTGCAAATTGATTAATAGCCATTTGTCCAGGGAAGAAGCCTCTAACTTTGCCTACATTTGGGGGAAAAAGATAAGAATGAGAAATATCAGCAATTTTAAGGATCACATGGAGTTTCAGCTCAAAGGTAGTTTATGTGCACAAGTTGTTGAACAATAAATGTGAAAGAACACTATTATAGACATCAATCCACTATATTGCCAACAAAACACATCCTAAAATATACAGTATTATATGGTATTATTTCATTTTTTAAAGGAGACTTTAAAGAATAATTAACCAACAAACACCGAACTAATTGCTCTATAGCTATGCGTGTTCAACAAATTCATCAGCCAATTGAGATACAGGCATAGTGGCAATTAAAGTTGTGCAGTTTTCCATATATGCAAACAACAAAATAGTGACCATACATTTTCACAAGCATATAAACTAATGAGTTGATATAATTGATATACAGCTTACCTTGTCAAAGGGTCCATTGAACATCAAAGAAAAAGGCGGACGGTATAAAGAAGCAAGATTATCACCAGAACTAGATGTAGCATTCTGGTCAGAGTCCCAAACAGCGGATTGTCTTGCTTCTTGTTCAAAGTTACGAAATGCAGCTGGTGCATTAGGTCGCATGCTGCGAAAAAAGAAAGGCCATCATACTCAAATTAATGGAACAATTTAGTTTTAGCAATCAACAGTAATAGTATAGAAGTTCAAATACACCATGGTAGTCTGGAACATGAAACTATATATTGCCACATGTAAAGCAACAAGCGCTTGCTTAAAATGCCAATCCAGAACAAAAAGTTATAATAGAATATAAATTTGATGTAGCCATGCCCAAGCTAACCACAAATTAAAAAACAAACATGGAAATAATTTTACATCTAGCTACCAAGAGGAGGAACCATCTCTAATCAATTCTTCAATTATATCATTAAAGGTTATTATTTAAGACAAATGCTTGTCACAAACAACAATATTAGCATACATTTCCTTTTCTTTGGCAATGGAAAACAAAAGGTCAGTTGGCGGTAGTACAACTGTTGTCACTGTAAAGTGAAAAAGAAACATGGATCGAGATGTCACATGATGCTAAATGAGCCAAATTGGTTGCAAGCAATATTGGTATCCAGTAAAACACAATTGCATCATTCAGTTACAGAAAAACTTATAATAATGTATCAAAGGAGCAGTAATTATTTTGCATTACAATACAATGGCTGCATTTATTTTCTTCTTAAGGACCTTCCTTAATAAGGAGGCTCAATCATAAAAGCATAGCATATAGGAGCGACAACATGCAAACTTTTTTGTAAGTTCTAGCGTAACCATGGTTGTTCACCAACATAATCAGAGCTAATATATAAATAACTTGATGAGTCCTTGGTTTTGCATATGCCCCAAAAGATGTAAACTCAGGTAAAGTTATTTAAGCTTCAGTACGCCATATAGGCATAAACACTCCAAAAAAAACTGCATGTTCGCAGAATGGTAAAATTAACTCGGATGCCATACAACATTTGGCTTACTAGTGGGATTACCAATGTTGTAGTTATGTCCAAGGCAAACAACGAGAGATTCAATAACCAAACATGCAGAATTCACTGGTTACAAACTATTAGGTAGACATGATGACTGTCATTAGGGATAAAAGAACAGATATAACAGAACACCTCGAGCATCTCCCAGAGCTCCTTGAAACAACTCCCTAATTCATTTTGTTTTTGGCAAAAAGGAAATAAGACAGCCCTCCAACAGTTTTGTATCTGGACTCCCTAGGGATAAGCACTTGGTAAATCTCCAATTCAACTCCCAGATATTCATGTGTGTTCCATGCTTGCTATCAGCACTTGGCGCCGGTTTTCCTCTCCAGCACCCAGTTTTTTTTATTACTAGGAAGCAATTATCGGAGAAAGGAAAAAATGGAGCTCTTGGAATAATCCATGATTTGCCAAGTGATATTTTAGGAGCTCTTGGAGATTCTCTTAGTTGCCACTAGAAAACAGTACTGACTGTAAGGGAATATACAAGCAAAGGCTATTGTAAATACACTTAAAGAGAGAAAAGATGCTTTCCCTTACTCACGCAAAGAAATCGCCTTATTCTCACGCGATTTCCTTCCAGCCCGCAGATAGGGAACGAAGGAAGGCGGGATTTTATTGCGCCAGATCGATTTCTTCCCAGCGGGCGCAGGCGCTTCCTTTTCCCCTCGCGTGACCGCGCGAGGCTGTTCGCGAGTAAGGCGACCGCCGCAGCCTCCTTGGTGATGCCTCGGATGCCTAACGAGAAAGGTGGATGCCTAGGACACAAAGGCGGACGCCATATGCTCGCATAGCTAGACGACCCGAACGCCAATAATTTTTTCTCGCCTGGACAACTAGGCTACGCCAAGGCGACGCCTTTAAAACAGTGATCACGTGTCTGTTGAAGAGCTAGATCCACAATGGTAAAATTAATTTCCAGGCACTTGGCATAGCAGCGCTTGTCTTAAGCGTTTTTCGGCTCCAATGCAGACTGTGACATGTAACTTCTTTACAGACGTACTCAGTCAGTATGTGGCATGTTTTTGTGCTGCTCTCGAGCGCCCGACTCCACAGGAGAACACAAGACCGTTCCAAGTGTCGGGCGCCAGGTGACGCAGCGACTCCGCCACGAAGCACCTGAGATCATAGGACTGCCCTCCACCGTGGCAGGTTCAGATAGAAACTGCCCATAAGCACATGTACACATAGGTGCGCTGGCCAGATGGCATAGATTCTATAGGCACACCAGACATGGACATCAGCTAAGTTAAAATCTATTGGTGGTAAGCAAAATCGGCATGGCTCCAGGAATCAATGCTAACATGCAAAGTGCCAGACCGAAGCACCGTTATTTAATACTTACACAGACACGATGCCCTCGCCGTAGAGAGTCTCCCTCTTCACAGGCAGAGGCGCGCGAACGTCGTCGTCCTCCCCAACCCCAAATCCATTCAACATTGCATCGCCCAGTGCAGCCGCCGGGGGTGGAGCGAACCTGCAAATCGGATGCCCTCAACTCAATGATCACCAAAAACCCAAAACCCAAACCTTGGCCGCCTACCTCATCGCCTCTTCCACCCCGGCCGCCGCCGCCAAAGCCGACGTGGCCGCCGCAGCAGGCGGCGGGGCCGCCGGATGCGCAGCGGTGAGGGCGGACTCGCCGTCGATGTAGAACAGCTGCAGCGCCTCCTCCAGGTGCCAGCTCGTCATCTGCGGAATGGAAACCCCGGGATCACATCGGACCAGATTGAATTGTGTAGAAGCTAAGGGGATTGGTTTTGGGGGGAGGGAGGAAACCAGACCTGTAGGAACTGGGTGGCAGTCTCGGGGGTCTGGCCGGCGGCGATCTCGAGGAAAGAGGAGACCAGGGTCTCCTTCTCCGCGGCCGTCGGGGGATCGCCCGCCATGGCGGCGAAGTCGCCTCGAGAGGATTATTTTTTTCCCTTCTCCTGCGGTCTGTTGGTGAGTAGGGGTTCGGTGGGACGGCGAGTGTGGGATTGGGGGGTTGGGTGGGGAAGGAGTGGGATCTCAAGTAAGAAAGGGAGAAGTGGAAACGTGCGGGATGATGAAGACGACGAATGGAGTGCGTGCGGGTTGTCTGGGCCTGCTTGGAGGGGAAGAAAGAGCCCGTGGTATCAGTGGGTTCCCATCATGGGCCGCCTAAAACATTTCATGGGCATGCAAACGGAATTCCCTGCTGTGTTGGGCTTGGGCGCCATGTTGAAGAACAACAATGTGAGAACACTGCTGGACCCAATGCAAAGTCAATACAAAAGTCAAAAGCACGTCCTACCTAGCCCGCACGCACACTCGGCAAAGGTCAACTACGCTGTCACGAGCATGTTTCGACGCTGAGTGGATACCAAGTATTTTGTTATCTTAGAAAAATACAGTGACTTTATGAGATACGTACTTTGGTTTTCAAATTATAAGGTGTTTGGGTGCAAAGAATTTTGTAGTTTTGAAAACCATGGTACTTTTGAAATACTCTTGTTAAAACTATAGTATTTTTAGAGTTTTATTAGAAACTCCACTCGACACTTGTTTTTTTTCTAAATCAAGATTTTGTATGTGTGTTATTTTAAAAACTAAGGGCCTATCAGTTTTAAAAAAACTACTACAGTATTACAAAATTGTGGCTTTATAAGTCAAAGTTATATAAAACTATGGTTTATGAGAGGTCATGAGTAAAGTTTCTAACTATAGGTTTTTTATAAAGTCATGGTTTTAAAGACTACAAGACTTGTTCTATCCAAACACTTAGTACATTTTGAAAACCAAAGTATTTTTTTTAAGAATCAAAATACTTTTAGGACTATCAGACCTGTTTATTGTTGGCAAAAACCTTGTCATGGCAATAAATACATGGAAACGGTAAAAAGAAAAAGAAAGGGGATCCACAATATGATTTCCAAATCTTTTTTCCTTTTGATTTTCTTCTTTTATTGTTTACTATTGTCTTAAGTCTGAGTAGATAGGTTTCTCTCCAAGAAACCGAGCAAATTAAGATACAAAACGCTAGGATTAGGTCGTATGGATGGTTATATCTTTCAGTGGGACACCTCATCCACCGCTAATTCTCCACTCTCGAGTTAATAAAAAAATCCCCACTCCCTGGTCGTCAAACGCTTGCATATCCTTCTTTTCTTGCTTGCTCTTTGCGCGGCTCCATCCATCCACATGTCTTCCTCGCCACCGTGCTTTGCTCCTAGCTCATCCCCACCAACCTCTGTTCCTTCCTATGGAAGGCATCCATACAGACGGATGAGTCTACACCTCACAACTCCCCACCCACCCTCTACGCCACCAATGTCCATGCATGAAGCGAAAGCACACCAATGACCTCTGAGCCGCCCACCCCCACCCTATATGCCATCGACGCCTGTGGTACCCCCCCCCCCCCTTTCCCCTTTGCTGTCAGCTTCACTCATTTCTGCGTTGTCGGCGAGCACACCGGTGACCTCCATGCGCCGACAAGCCTCGATTCGTTGAAGCGGCAAAGTAGATGTTTTGTGCTAAAAGCGCGTATTGCAACTATATGTTTCAAGTGTTTCAGGTGTTTTGCAAGTGTTTTTATATGGATATTGCAAAAGTAGATCGGGATGTTGCAAATGTTGCAATGGCTATACATGTATGTTTCAAGTGTTTTATCTGGATGTTGAAGAAGTAGATCTAGATATTGCATATACATGCATGTTGCAAGCGTATGTTTTCAAATGTTTCAGGTGTTTTATACATATGTTGCAAGTGTTTCATCTGGATGTTGCATATGTTTTGCAATGGCTACACACGTGTTTTCAAGTATTTTTAGGTGTTTTCAAGTGTTTCAGCTGTTTTGGATGTATGTTGCAAGTGTTTGATCTGGATATTGCAAAAGTAGATACGGTGTTGTACATGTTGCAATGTGATCCACCTAGGCCCCGTGGTAGTGGTTGGGTTATGACCAAAGACTCATGAACAGTGGAGGAGGGAGGCCGATGCGATGGCGTCACCCACAACTAACTACGATGGACTATGTGCTGATGAGGCGCCACCAAACGTTCGGGTGCCAGTAACTCCCATTAACATAGTGCATATTCTCGCTACTACGGGTACAATCAACTTTGCATCATGATGACGCATTTGGAGTTGGAACCCTTTACCCAGCGCTCGAATAGAACCCAAGTAAAGCTGATAAAAGATCACATATTTTTAAGCATGCAACACGATACGATACAATGAGTATGCTCAAGGGACTTAGAGGTGTGACATCGCTGGGTCCTCATGTTATAGCCCCGTGGTGCTGGTTGGGTTATGACCGACACCCACCACGGGCAACAATGCGTGCCGTGCAAGGAGGGAGGCGATGCGGCAGCCGGTAGGTCGTCACCCACAATCCGCGAGGGCGAGGACGATGGCTAAGGCGCGAAGGACCGTGTGAGCGAGGGTGTGCGACGAGGAAGCGGCTCGATATTTGAAGTCACGCCCCGTCGTCGTTGGTGCCGCAAGACTCCCCATTAAGATAGCGCATATTCTCGCTACTATGGGTACAATCAACTTTGCATCATGATGACGCCCCATGGAGTTGGAACCTCTTACCCAGAACGCAGCGTGGTATGAACCCAAGTAAAGTTGTAGAGATAAAGATCACATATTTTTACTCGAGGAGAGAGCACACGATGCGATACAATGAGTATGCTCACTTGTGTGGGGCAAGCGTTTTGGAGCCCGGTAGGTTATTTCACCTAGGGTCGTCGGGTCCTGGGTCCTCCACCGGGTTCAACTTTGGCTTCAATTCACCATCGTCGGGTTATATTGCTATGCACGTAGCCATCTTTAGCCCACCGGGTTCAACTCGCTTCACCATTATATGCTTGCACGCCATCTTTTTCCAACGGCTACCACATCAATATCTGTCCTGGCGGCTACATCAATGCAAGTGTTAAAGACAAAGATCCGATTGTATTTGTGACTGATTTCTTATGGGGATTTGTAGTTGATAATTTGACTACATCAAAATGCTGCCGAAATTTGCAATTGAATGGCCTATTTATTGGATTGTGAAATTTTTGGTTCCCTTGGTTAGAACCGAATTACCCGAAACTAAAATTCCTCGGTTCCATGTTTTCTAAGTAACCGATTGGTTCTTTCTTCTCAGGTAACAGAATTTGCTGAAGAACCGAAGAACCGAACCGATATGTTTCGGTTAACCCAACGCCTAGAGTGAGTGTGTGGCGCTTGGGTTGTCAAGGCCAGGGTTGCCGTGGTGCGGGGTAGGGCGGACTCGCGGGGCGGGCGGAGGTCCAAGTGGTTGCTGGCGACTGCCGACCAGGGCCGAGAGAGCGAATAAGAAAGGAAAGGAGAAATATGAGAGAAGTAAAAGGAAAAAAAAAAAAAAAAAGTGTGGTATTATGAATACACTATCTTAGTGTTGGTGTAACACGAGAAGATAACGGTTCACGAAACTTCATCGGTAGAGATGCTTTTGCTGAGGTGAGTTGTACCAGGCCTAAACTATATACATCACCAAACCACTGTATGCAAATGCAATCAAATCGAAACGGCAGCGCGTCTCCTCGCCCTCGAGGTTACCCGCGCGCGCAACGGGCGCTCCATGGTCACGGTGAACTCCGGCCTCTCGAGATCCACGCCGACACCGGTCACCGTCCCCCACTCAAACTCGAGCACCAGGTTCGCCACGAAGCACTCGAGGTTCAGCATCGCGAGGCCCAGGCCTGGGCAGATCCTCCTGCCGACGCCGAACGGCATAATCTTGATCTCACGGCTCCCCGAATGGTCCACGCCAACGCCTTCCCCGCCGTTGACGAACCTCTCCGGCCTGAACTCCTCCGGGCGGTCCCAGACGGTCTCATCCATCGAGACGTCAGCCACCGAGAAGTTCACCGACGTGGCGGCCGGCACGCGGTGCCCGTCCAGCGACGTCTCCTCCACCGCCGCGTGCGACAGGAGGAAGTGCGCCGGCGGGTGGCGGCGGAGCCCTTCCATCACCACCGCCTTCAGGTACGGCATGCGCTTCAGGTCCTCCTCGGCGACGCCACTCTCGTCGGTGGCCGTGACCACCGCGTTGATTTCGCCAAGGAGCTTCGACTGCATCTCCGGCTGCCCCACCAGGTTCGCCATGATCCACTGGAGCGCGGTCACCGTCGTGTCGACGCTCGCGGTGAGGAACTCCGTGCAGAGGCTCACCATCTCGGCGTCGGTGAGCGCGCGCTCGCCTTCCTCCTTGGGCAGCCGGTGATGGGCGAGCAGCGTGTCGACGTAACAGTACGACAGGCTCTCGTGTTCGTCGCCATTGTAACTACTAGGCATGCTTCCGGCACGTCGATCTCTTCTTGCTCTGATCAGTGGCAGAAACAGCTCCTCATGCCTCCGCCGGATGGAGAGCACCTTCTTCCACCGCCGGCAGAACACCAGCTTGGTGACCGCCGAGCAGAAGGCGAACACCTGGAAGCCGATATATGACGCGAAGAGCTACCTCTGCACGGCCTCGATCTCCGCGACGCGGCGGCCGTGCAGCCTCCGGCCGAAGCACATGTGGGTGAGCAGCGAGAACACGGCGAACTGGAGGCACTCCACGACGACCACCACGCCCCCACCGTCTTTGCTCCGGCGCCCGAGGTCGGAAACCAGGGCCGCCAGAGCCCGCCGCCGCGCGCCGGCGCGAACAGTGGGACCCGCGACGGGCTGAGGATGCCGGAGGTGAGGTTCCGCCGCAGCGAGGGCCAGAGCGGGCCGTGTGGCGCGGAGGTGACGGTGCTCTGGCCGCTGTTGAGCACGCGGAAGGGCGAGATGGCCGGCGGCGGCAAGGCCGCTGCTAGACGAGCGCTGCCGCGGGGAGAGGAAGCACAATGTCGGGGCCGCGCTTGGGGTTTTAGTCGAGCGCGCGGTGGGGTGGACGCCCACAACA